CTGTGGCATTTGCTAGTTGTCGAATTACTTCCAAATGCCTTCATCTGGCACAGAAGTCTGTTAATTTTTCAGTTTGTTTATTCAGAATCTTTATTCTTACTTTTTTTTTGTCATTTTTATCATTGTATTTAATTATTTTATTTTCAGTTAGGTTTTTTCCCTTTTTCCGATAATTTTTTGAGTTCCATATTTTAATTTTTCCTATAATCGTATCTTAATTTTTCCTACAATCATTTTTTGCTGTTTAATTTCTCTAAAAAGTGTTTATTTATTTATTTTTTGAAGGAAACATTATTGCCTGTGGTTGTCACGCTGCTGTCTATGAAGCCCGTGCACGTACACTGGAAAAAGCGGAACGAACCCCGCTTGGCACCGTTTGCGCAAATTTACCGTGCACTTCTTCGTCACCGACTGCGCATCGAAAGCAGATTGATACAGAAGATCCATTCGTTGTAAGTAATACTTTATTTTTTCAACAAATAGTTATTCTCAACTGATAACATAGCAAATCTTTTTTTTTTTTTGACTTAATAAATCAGTAGCATCAGATGTCCACATTGATTGTCCGGGCGATCTTGGTATTCTTGGTAAAATAATTCAATTAAAGCTAAGAATCCCTCCCCTATAATAATTTTATCAAAATAATTTTACTACTTTTACTAATTTCTTAATATTATTTTCTCTTGCCTTCATACTTAAGAAATAACTTTCTGTCTCACTTCCGCTAAGAAGCAAATTTGTCCCTTCAGTCAGTAATTTCACCATAATTTTTTCTCACAAAAAAAACCAAATCGTAAAATCTTGCAAAATTTTCATGATTTTTTTGCATTATTGTTTTTTTAGGCATATCCATTGGCTTTAAAAATAATGTTCAACTATCAGTTTGCTGCACCGGAAAGGCACTTATGGATGGATATGGGCACTGAACTTATCCCTGTTCGCAAGAGGCCTCCCGAACTCATTGGCTATATGGCCAAGTACTTTTTGGCATTGTCTTTTTTTTTTTGAACCCGCGCAATTATTAGGATTTTATGTCTTCAATTTTATCATTATACCAGCATCACTCACTTACGTGACAGAGAGTAGTCGGAGCATAGGTGGATCCAGGTCGGTCTCCTGAGGAAAGCGATTTTTCTCCCCCTC